CGCGCGCATTGGGCAGAGCAGCGAGGGAGGGCAGCCAGTCGAGGGCGCAGCGCAGCTCAAGGGATGCAATCCTGGTTGCGCCTTGACGTCCCTTCAACTGCAAATGCAGTGGCTGGGCAGGACCCCGCAGCCAAGCTCGCTATTTGGACAGGGTTGTCCACGGCAGCAGGCGGGAGCTAATTATGATCCCATCCCTTGGCCCACTTCTTGGGGTCCAGGGTGGCTGCAAAGTTTGAGAGGGTCCAGAAGAGCCCAAACATCTGCTTCTGGTCATCCGCCAGCGTGCCCGCCCCCTGCTTGACGCTCTTTGGGCGGTACCATTCTTGGTAGTGGACGCACGACCCCTGCATGCCGTGCGTGCACAAGTATGGTGTGTGTATATTGTGTGTGTGTGTGGTGTGTGGGCGTGTGTCGTGTGTCGTGTGTGTGTGTATTGCGTGTGTTGTGTGTGTGTGTGTGTGTTGCGTGTGTTGTGTGTGTGGCTGTGTGTGCGTGCGTGTGTGCGTGCGTGCGTGTGTGTGTGTGTGTGTGTGTGCGTGCCTTCGTGCGTGTGTGTGTGTGTGTGTGTGTGTGTGCACGAGCGCATACACACAAAATCATCAGGCTGCATTCATGAGACATAACATCTCACTGTTTGCAGGAGAGCACGCCCTCACTGAGCTGAGCTGCCCCGGCGGCGCCGCGGGCGCAACCGACCCACCTGGCGGTTAAAGATGTACATGTTGAAGCACACCATGGTGCTAGGGCCGAGCAGCAGCCAGCCTGCTACTGCTGCCGCTGCTGCTGCTGCTGCCGCTGGCCCTGCCGCCGCTGCTGCTGGCGGCGGCGGGCGTGGTGCCGAGGCGCCGCTTGGGGGTGGCAGGCAAGTGCCCTTCTCTTAACAGACGGATGCTATTTGGTGGCCAACCCTGGGACCTGCTGCAATATGGATGATTTTCCCGCAAGCTCCCTGATGGCGCCCTGCTTGTAGACTGACCGGCAGGGTGCGCGCCGCCGATGGCTTTTGTTGGCAGCCGCTGGCAGCTGCGGTGGGCCGGACAGCGCCTGTGCGCCTGCGCTGCAGCGGCTGGTTCGCTCGCTGACCCTGATGTGGGCTCCGCGGCGCTGGCCGTTGCAGCAGTCACGCAGAGGTATCTATATCAGGTGTCTGAAGCTTGCTTTCGTGCAGTGCTTCGTCACGCTTTCAAGCGATCTCGCTGTCACAATGCTATATGTAGTCTCCTGTTCGTGCGATGTACCGGTAGTACAAAAGTGTCAACGTGATAAGTACATTTCGTACCGGTAAGATGGCTCAACTCGAGCACGCTAATCCTGTATGGTAATCCACCATAGCACTCTTCATCCGGCAGCCCAGGACGCTGGCGCCTGTCACCACACCAGCCATGCCGTTTCTCTGCTGATGTGTGATACTCTGGATTTTTTAGATGGTTGTGGGTGATATGACAATAAAGCTATGGATGCTTGATGGCTGTGCTTGTGTGCCATGCTGCCAAAGGTTCTGGGTTCTGACTGGTCTTTGTCGGGAATGTAGTCAATGCACCATCAGCTTGCCCTCGACACCCGCTGGTGGCTATGCCACAGGAAGGCCGTGTGCATAATGTTACTCAATCTCACAACATTCAGATCAACTGCCCGCTTCGACTGCATCATTCGTCGCATACCATTCAACCATGTCTGTAGCATGCTGCGGTTGCGACGGCCTACGGCGCCTCAAGGGACACGGAGTCTCCGTAGCGCTGGCGCAGCGCGTCCCACGCCGCCGTCTGCGCGTCCCCAGGCTTGTGCAGCATGATCGACATAGCAACGGCGCCGTCCTTGTTCACCAGCCGCACCACGCGCAGGGGCCCCGCGAGGCCCGGCCTGTCCACCAGAGCGAAGCGCGCCTCGGAGAGCTTGGACAGGACGAAATGGGCCTCGAAAGACTTGTCGCCGTTTGAGATGGTGGCGATCGTGCCGCGTGCCGCCGAGTCCGAGTAGCGGACGGGCGACCAGTCGCCGACAGACTCCAGGATGCACCCGGTGCCGACCACTACAAAGCGGCAGGGCGAGAGCCCCGCAGTGGCAAGGTCGTCGAGCAGCTGCTTCGAGGCCACTGTGGCAGCTGGCGCTGTGGCGTCGCGTGCGCTGCCAGGCGCGGCCCGCGGGACGCGGCGGAGCGCTGGGGGGGTGGTGCTGAATAGGTGGGTTGCAGAGCTCCTGCGTGCACTATTGCTATTACTGCTTCGCATCGAAATCATTTTGATTTCCGTGATGAACTACCGGTCTACCGGTACACCGCAATGGGAGAGATCTGCGGCAGGCTCGCGGGATTCGCGAAGTTACTGGTGAATTGCAATCAAAACAGGATATGTGTTGCCAATGTGCCATATCAACGCTGTCAAAGCCATGCAAATGATGCCCGCACGATATGTGATTGGCGAGCAGTCATCACTCAAGCCTGCATTCATATTGGGCACACTGGCCAGTGCCTGGCTGGCAGGGAGGGCCGCCTGGCTGCCCGTGGTGTGAGTGTCACAGTGAAAGGACAACCGTGAGACGGACTAGTCGGTCAGGCTGAGCTGGCAGACAGAGGGACTGGACATCTGGGCTGTTGCAATCAACTCCTCGTCTCTTTGTACCGTACCAGGCGGACGTCATGTTATGCTTCCAAGCAGCTGGCGGCCAAGCGGGGCTTGTGTCATATTTACTCTGGCTGCGTCACTCTTAAGGCCAAGGCGATGAGACTTCCTGCGCCGGTACACCACATTCATGGGCCCCGTGCCATGAGGCCCTCATGTTGTTTACCGGCGGCTCATTGAATGAGTTGCCAACTTGCAAGTCAAACATGAGAATCACGCCAACGGGGTGTGAGTGCATCCAAAGCTGAATAGCAGCATTGACACGCATGATGGTGTGCCCAGCATAACCCAGTCACGACCGACTGACCCGCATGATGGTGAAGGGCGTGCGACTCTCATCACGCCTCTGCTGTTGTGATTCGTTGACGTCAGAAAAGTGAGCGAACCCGCGCACGACAAACCAAGGAATTAATTTCCCATTTGGAGAGCGTTAGCATGTACACCCTACCGGCAACCAGCAGCTGTCTGGTCAAACCCGGGCGTGATTTTGAATCAGCAGCCTGCCCGCACGTTCACATGGCTGATGCCCTCCTTTGCGTAGCGTTGACTGGCAGAGGGAGATGAGGGTTTCCTTGCCCATGTAGGGTAGTCTGTCGAAGTGCACCACGTTGCTATTACCAAGTTGCTGTTTGCACCAGTTGGGGCATGGACTTGTCAGTTGTCACAACATTGCCTCACCCACATGCGAATCTCCCATGTGCAAACATGCTTGCAACTTCAGCTTTGTATAACATCTTGAATTTTCTCTTGCTCTCGCAGGTGCGTATGCGTGCGGGGACGCCTAGAATGGTCTGTGGGTCCCCCCTGTTCGTGTGCGCCTGCGGTCAGCACTCAGCCCAACCAGCCATTGGGGCGGCCTTCAATCTCTTCACTACGAGCTTTGCAATATGGCGGTATATGTGCAGTACTGCCCCTACCACAGCAAAACTTCCATGGGCGCAGGAACACACACCGTGCGCGGCGTGAACGCTGACGCACCAGCCATTCAGCCCTGGTGGTGACGAGTGTGGAAGGAGTGCTTGGCTGGCCAGGGGCCACACGCCTCTGGGTCCGTTCACATGCAGTTATTGTCATATCTACCTCAAGTGCTGCGACATTGCGCCGCAAAATCACCAAACATCAATGGGCGCGGGTGACCCAGGATCCGTCGAGACAGATGTGGAGCGGCTTGGTGATCGGAGGCCCGCCGATGCAGAAATAGACGATGTCAAGGCCACCGGCTCGTCAGGCGGCGGGAGAGAGAATGTGCGGAGGAAGCGGCACCTGCTCGTTGCGAGCTCCTGCATCCTTGGTGAGGGGGTCACTATGATAGGCAATCATGCAGTGTTGAGTCACCGGGGACAGCCAAGGCCGCACCATTTCACCGGCGTCACCCCGTCACGCGCCACGCTGCGCCCGGCCACGCCTGTCTTCGCCCGCAGGAACGGAGCTATGCGAGCGCCTGGCTTTTGGTGAGAGGCTCAACAAGTGCCCTTGTTTTCCCTTCGCGACAAGGCCTAGCAGGGCAGGCAGCATATGCTTGCAGTGTCCATCGCAGCGACATCCTGGCTATGCGGCTCTGGCAACTGCTTGCCCCCGTTGCGGTCGGCGCACCCCCATTGCAACCCAGCTGCCGTTGCCGCCGACTCACCCTTGCAGTCGGCCTGGCGACCAACCTTGCACTGTACCTGGTCCGTTACATGGTGCGGCCCCTCAGCCTACCAATCACACAGTGACCGCCTCCTGGACGTAGCCAGTGTGTTGGCCCGCCTCCGCCAGCTGGCCGCCTGAACAAACCTGCCTCTAACCCACCCCGCCAGCCCCCTTGGCTGCCTCAATGACCAACACTGGATCTCAATGTTACAAACACCTGCAAGAACTGTAGGCCAGTGCGCGGCCTGAACCGCTTTATGGCATCCCAACTCCTCAGCTGGCTGACCCCCCCCCCCCATCGTCTCGCCCCTCCATTGGTGCCCCCTCTCCCGCTCACAGGACTACAGCGCGGCACGCGCGAGCCAGATGCTGCAGATCTGGAAGGGCATGGTCTTTACGACACCCCTCATTGGCGCCTACCTGGCCGACGCTTACTTGGGCAGGCGCGTGCGGTACAGCATGGCCGGGAACGCAACAGGGTCATGCCACATTGCGTTGCTCGGGCGCGGGGGCGATGGCGGACGGCGGCCATGCTGAATCCGAGAGTCGCGGCGGCACAGTGAAAGTAGCTGCGCATCCAGCTGCACACAGTCACCAAGCACTCAGCTCAAGAGACGCAATCCCTCGAGCAGCAACGCAGGACGCAGGTTCTGCCAGACCCTTCAGCTACCCATTTCTGCTATCCCCTTCTGCTACCCACAGCTGCTACCCACTTCTTCTACCAAGACCTGTGCTCCAACTGCCCGCAAAACCCTGCCGCAGGTTCCGCACCATCCTGCTGTTCAGTGCCGTGTACATGGCAGGCTTGGCCGGGATCACGGGCGTCAACCTCTCGCCGACCCTGCAGCCACGCCGAGGGCAGCCGCCGCCGAGTGGAGAGTACGGCCCCACGATCGCCGCCTTTTGGGCTTTCATGTGAGCGCCTGAAAACATGCCCGTGCACAGGGGCCTGTTATTGCCCTGGACGTGCACACTCAGCCCAGGTGTGCGTCACTTCACAAGGGCGAGACAGGATGGGACGCAAGCTTGTCGCACGCTGCGTTCATTCAGCGGTCGGAGCACTTTCTTCTCAGGACATCAGCGGGCTTCCGGAGAGGTTTGGCCCTCACGTCCTCTTGGGCTCAAGTCGGTGCCTCAGCACCTTGTATGTGAGCCGCGGCCGACTGCGGCCCGCCGCACCGCCGGCGCTGCATGCAATCCCCCAGGTACCTTATTGCTCTTGGCAGCGGCGGCATCAAGCCGTGCGTGGGCAGCTTCGGGGCCGACAACTTTGACGAGCAGCGGCCAATAGAGCGGCGGTGGCGCTCGACGTACTTCATCTGGTGAGTCATTGGGGGACGTTGGGGCGCGGCAGGCCGCAGATCAGACAGGAAGGAGGGCAGATGCATCGCGCACAACCAGGTAAGGTGTGTGGCGAGTGCCTCTTGTTGACAGTTGATACCCGCATTTCCATTATGCCGGACCCAAGGGACCCTCTTCTAGCACCTAAGGCATGTTTACAGCAGCGCGTCCCCCATGTTGGTGAAGACATGCAGACGTGTGCATTTTTGTACGCGCCCGCACACACACACACCGACACACACACACACACACACACACACGCACACGCACGCACTCGCACGCATGCGCACACATGCAAAGACATGAACGCACACACACCGGCTGAACACACTCCGGCTGAATCCCTTGCCTAAAGGTACTATTGCTCCATCAACCTGGGCGGCCTCATCGCCGCCCTGGCCATCACCCCCATTCAAGAGGCCAAAGGCTACGGCATCGGCTTCGCCATCCCCACCGTCTTCTTCGGTGCTGCGGTTGCCACGCTGATTGTCGGCGCCAGCTTTAAGCTCTACCGCTTCGTACCGCCGGAAGGCTCACCCCTGAAGCGCGTCTTTTTGGTGCTGAAATGCGCCCTGGTGACGAACCGGGGGCTGCCGAGGCCGGGCGCGGGCACGGAGCTTTACGGTGAGTTGTCCGTCCCGCAGCAAGCGCCCCTTCTGCGCACGGCTCAGCGGTGCGTGCCTGCGAGTCCTCCCCGCATCACCGTGCACGGTCTGCTCCCTCATTTTTTTGCCAAACACAGCCCTGCATCCTGCATCCTGTATCTCTGACGTGCAGCTCCACTCCGACTTCTGATGTATGCCCAACCTTGGTGTCTCCCAAGCTCACTGCATTGCCATCCTCACCGCCCTGCTCTTCCAACCCCCCAGACCCCCCGCCCGGCGCGGGCGGCCTTGAGTACCGAATGGCCCGCACCCCAAGGTACCCCTGGCTCGACCGCGCCGCACTGCTCCACGGCCGCCCAGAGCTGCGCCAGCCCACCCTGACAGAAGTCGAGGAGACAAAGGCGCTGATGGGGCTGGGCCCCATCCTGGTCGTGACCGCGCTGTTCATGTGCTTCCGGGACCCGGTTTCGACGCTGCTGCCGCTGACGGGGGACACGATGGACCGGAGGATAGGGGGGCGCGGCGAGCGGGTGCCGGCGGCGTCGCTGTCTTTTGCAAACCCGGTGGGTGGGGTGGGTGGTTGGGTGGTTGGGTGGGTGGATGGGTGAGTGGGTGGACAGGCAGGCGGGAGGGTCAGGCGAGGGGGGTGCCTTGAGGCGGGCACGGCTCCAGGCAGGTGGTTGGGCAGGCGCCTCAGTGTGCAAGGTGCCAGAGCCTCCCCGCCTGTCACTTGCGCACGTGCAAGCACCGCCCCAGGTCTCAGGGTTGTGGCGGCTGCCGCAGGTTCCGATCTTGTCGGCATACCTTGCCGTTGTCCGCACACCACACAGGCCGGCATGCTGCTCAGTGTCATGATTTATGATGCGCTGGTGGCGCCCGCGTTCGCACGGATGGGGCGGCCCATCACCCCGATGCAGCGCCTAGGTGCCCGCGCTGAATTGCCGGGCCGCAGCGGCGCCGCCCCGCGCATTCGTTAGCGCGGATGCTGGCTGCGTGCCGCTTGGAGCCCTTCGGGGAGAAATGGTTTGAATGCGTTCCGTGATGAGCGCGCTTGCCGCCCTCTAATCATTTTGTCTCGACCCCCCTTGCTGCAGGTGCTGGCATATTCCTCCAGGTCTTTGCGCTGCTTGCTGGTGGGTGCGCGCACGCTCTCTGCGAGTGATGTAGCAGCAAGCTTGCCAGTGACAGCTGCATGATCGCCTGCCTGCCTGCCCAACGGGCAACGACTGGCCGGATCAGAAGCTCTCGTGCGCGCCACCCTTTGTTCAATTTTCAAACGTGCACTCTCGACCTGCGTGCGCCTCTCGCCCCCGCAGCCGGTTTCCTGGAGATCGCGCGCTACAAGGCGGTGGCAGACACCGGCCTGCTGGCCACCTTTGACGCCGCCAAGGCGAGCGACCCGACCCTGAACCCCGGCAGGGGGCCCTACTTTGTCCCGATCTCTGTGTGGTGGCAGGTGAGAGGGGTTGGTGACACACATTCGACCCTTGGGGGACGGACTCGTGCCCACCGGAAAGCCGCCTGACACTGCCGAGCGTGCAGGCTGTGCGTGTCAAAGTGCGAGGGCGGGGGCGAGGTGCACGCCAGGCCTGGTCCGCCCGCATGGCCGGCTGTGCACGCTGAGTGGGATTGATTGTTGACGAGTGGCAGGGCTTGGTGCCCAGATCTTCGGCTGCCAGGCTCCGCCTCAAACAAACAGCCCTCAGCTGCAGCTGAGGAGCGAGCCACCACTCACATCAGCTGCTTTGAATCGGCTGCTCGCTCCCTCCCCCTACTGCATGCAAAACAACGGCTCTGCGTGCCGCACCGGTATCGCGCAATGACCCCAACCCTATGTCGTGACGGGGCAGGTGGTCCCCTACTTTTTGGAGGGCATCAGCGAAACGCTGGCTTTTGCAGCAGCAACGGAAATCGTGTACACACAGGTGTGTGCAGGTGGTCACTTGAGCCAGCCGGCCGCCGGGCGCTGCAGACGACCGATGGGCACGGCCACCCACATGGTCCCTTTGTGGCCTGGCCGGGGCGGCGTGCATTGCGCCGTGCAGCGCACGTCACAGCCCCACCAGCCAACTCAAGCCTGTATGGGCGTTGATCCGTATGCAAGAGGACAACAACATGAATATCACCCCCCGCAACACCAGGTGTCAGAGGGCACGCGCTCCCTGTCGTCTTCCATCCTGCTGCTCGGTATCGCGGTCGGCGCCTACCTCTCCGGCGCTGTCAACCAGGCCGTCTCAGCGGCCACCGGGGCGGACCCATGGCTGGCGTCCAACGCGCTGACGGGGCACTATGACTGGTACATGTTCCTCAACGCGGGGCTGCTGGCCGGCACCTGGGTGCTCTTCCACTTTTGGATCGCACGGAACTATGTGGAGCGCGCCGTCGTGCCGCGAGAGGGCAGCCAGAGCCAGGTCAACTTGAAGGTGCGACTATGGTAGAGTTTGAAACACACGCGGCTTCGTTGCGGACGATTGTGTTGCGTTTATGGTCCACAAGGGGGTATGCAGCCGCGCGCTGGCGTGCGCGGTTCGTCAGCTGTACGCCCAAAGGCGCTTGTGGCGTCTTCATCCTGAAATGCAGGTGGCCAACATTCACCCAAGATAACCCTACTGCTGAGCCGCCTTCCTCATCCTCCATTCATGCAGACATCGATGCTCGTTGAGTCAAAGACGGAGGCAGAGGGCAGTGAGGAGCACTTTCGGGCTGTCAGTTCCAAGTCCTCGGCATCCGCCCCAGCTCGGCCGACGGGCAGCCGCTGATTGGCAGCCGCATGGTGTTCTGAGCCAGCAGCCGGAGCCTGGGCGAGTATAGCGGCCCTGGGGGTCAATGAACGAGCTACTCACAAGAACAAGACGTGCGCATGATTTGAGATCACAGCAAGATCAAACGGATGAGTCTTGGCTCCAAGTTATCTGTCACAGCACAGTACGAGAGTGATTCAAGTTGGGCGCCAGACTTGTGCGCTGCGTGGCCGCCACACCCACAACAAGACAAGCCAATCAGTAGCCTTCACGAGTCATCATTGCAGATCAGGTATGCCCCGTCAAACTGCATACCTGTCTGTTGTTCCCACTCATTTAATCAACATTGTCGCACAGCCAGAGTTGCTGGGCTAACTGTTAGCGTGCGCATATGCCTGACTGTGTGCGTGTGCGTGTGTTGGCATGTAAGAGTGTGTGTGTGCATGTGTGTTGCCCTTTTTACGGTACAATCCGTGCTGTACTTTTGATTCAAATTGAGCACTGATGCAATTTAACCTGATTTGTTACGGCTATGGGTATGCCTTTGCATGTGTATGCCTTTGCATGTGCACCGTTGCTGGCTGCCGTGCGATTCGACTAATTGTAACAAGCACACGGCTGCTTATGCCCCTTCCGCCACACACCAGGCAGCAGGCCGCATATGAATTGCAACAGGCTGCTGCTGATTTTGATGGGAATTGGTTACTCCAACACCTGCAAGGGTTCAGCAAGTAAGGGTTGAAAGGGTGGAGCAGACACTCGGTGATCAGAGACGTGAAGCTACTGTACCTTCCTGTCTGCGAGCGAACCTTGGTGGCAGTGGTAAGTCCTGCGACAATTGTTGCAAGCTTTTCAAGGGTTTGACTTGTTTGGCAGAGATGGCCATGGCAACGGGCTTGACCGTGTTTTGGTGCACCAGGAAGTCTCGCACCACACTCAGTCAAATGTGTGTTGACCGCAGCCGCTTTTTCAGGGGGCGCCTACTCCATTTGCGGTGGTGTTTGTGTAATAATATTACAAAGGTCCAAATCAAAACTTTGAAATGCAACACAGAGCCGAGCTAGGTGCTAGGCCTACCGATGCACACCTGATCGGCATGGCCGGTCGCCTGAACTCGCGCCCTGCTGTGACGCCATCTAGCCCAGTGGCGTGCTCGCAATGCAGTGAGCACATACCGGTACAGGTCCGACGACCATCGACAGGAACCATCAAAACGGCTCTCCTCTCGAACGTCCACATCGCTCGGAATGAATCTCAGTCGCGTGTCAGATCGCGGAGCAGCTCGTTTTAGCATCTCGAGGCCGTCATCATACCACATTAAATTTCTAGGACGCCTCAGTACTGCAGCGCCACTCACGCGAGCGCTCGCTGTCAGTGCACGTATACCGGTACAGGTGCAGCAGGAGCAGCGGCGCCAGCGTGCCACCGCCGCGCCAATGGGGAAACAAGCCCAGCGGCTAGAGCCAGGTGTGCGGGGCTGATATTTGTGTCATGCTATGTTGTCATGCTTTCTTGCCCTGAGTGGACGTGCAAGGCGGAGATCCCATTCATCTATAAAAGGTGCTGTGCCCGAGTGAGGTGACGGTGTGGCATTGCCCTGGACGCGGCCAATACATTTGACAGCAGGGCCGGACTCACCAAGCCGCGAGCGGCTGTTGGCACGCGCCAGTAGCGACACCGAAGGCGCGCCGGCGGCCACAGCCGCGCCTAGCAGCCGCGGCGCAGCCGGCAGCAGCGGGGGCGGCGGCGACGGCGGCGGTGGCGGCGGCGGCGGCGCTAGCAAAGCGGCCGTTGGGGTGGGCCTTGTCGGCGCGGCGGTGCTCCTCTTGGTCACGCTCAAGGCCACTGGATTTGATGTGCAGGCTGCCGTCAAGGTGACTCGAATTAGGAGTCGGAGCTTGCATTCGTCACTACAAAGTCTGGGCAGCAGCAAACTGCTGTGCATCGCTTGAGGTTGACCGCCGGTCCCTCCCAGCCTCAGGCGGCGACAGCGCCGCTTGGCACGGCCGTTGACGCGTGTCCTCTCATCTTCTCCTCAGGATCTGGAGGACCTGATCTCGAGATCCGGTTACTTGGGACCCCTGATCTTCATTGGGGCCTATGCGGGCGCCACCGTGCTGCTTTTCCCGGCGTCGCTGCTGACACTTGGCGCGGGCTACCTTTTCGGTGCGGAAAGTCAACTGCATGGCGCTGCCAGCAAAACAATAGATTTAATGAGCTTGAGCTAGCGCTCATGGAAATGAGCTAAGATGGGCGCAAGCAGGCTCATCAGCACCCAAGTTCTTAAAAGGGTGGCCCCCCTCATGGACGCTCACTCACCTGCCCCGCCTACGCCGCTGTGGGTTTGCCGGTCACGCCGCAGGCGCAGCAGACCCACCCTCACCGGCACCCTCCGCCGACCCTCCACCCTCCACCCCTCCCACCCCTCGGGTGCCCCCCTTTGGCCGCGCAGGCCCCCTCGCGGGGACCGCTCTGGTGTCTGTCGCCTCCACCACCGGCGCGACGCTCGCGTTCCTCATAAGCCGCTACCTGGCGCGGCCGTTCGCGGAGGGCAAGCTGCGGGAGTACCCAAAATTCGGCGCTGTGGACGGCGCCATCGGCAGGGAGGGCGCGAAAATTGTGCTGCTGCTGCGGCTGAGCCCCCTGTTCCCATTCAACCTGTGGGTACCGCTTTTCTTGGCGTGTGGGGGGTGGGTGGGGTGGAGAGGGTTTTGATCCCTCAGGTGTGCACACGGGCAGCTTTTGGACGCGTGCGTTTGTTGGTGATAGTCCAATTTGGGGCTGCTGTCTCTCGCCTGCCTTTTACTCCATGCCTGGCTGAGGTTCTGCCCCTCGTATCAGTGGCATGGCACCAACCCACCTGCTTTCTGAGCCCCTCGTCCCAAACCTGCGACCCCGGTGCAGGCTCAACTACTTTCTTGGGGTGACGCGGATCGGGCTCCTGCCTTACGTCGGAGCTTCATGGCTGGGCATGCTGCCAGGGACCTTTGCGTATGTGTTTTTGGGGTCGGCTGGCAAGGAGGCCGGCGAGGCGGCGGCGGGTGGCGGGGGCGGCGCCAAGTGGGTGCTGTACGCGGTCGGGGCGGTTGCGACGGTGCTGGTGACGCGGGTGATATCCCAGGCGGCGAGCAAGGCGCTGCAGGAGAGCGGCACGGAGGAGGAGGGGGCGGCAGAGTGAGGCGGCGGCGGCGGCAACAGCATGTGTTTCCTGATAGTGCAGCCTTCCTTCCCCCGTGATCCAATTGCAATGACAGAATTGGCAGGCGCATTTCTTACATGTGCTGCACGCCTGGCTTGTGTCTAGGGCGAATGTCTACCGTCAAAAATCGAGGCGAGCCCGTACACATCTGCATGCAGCTGGAGACAAGCGTTGAGCTTAAATAGAAACCCAACGCATGAGAACGGTCTTGTTGGTCAACCACCCCGCTTCGGTTTGTCGCGATTACCCACCACATACAACAAAGCTGACGCTGGGGTATGCAGCGTAAGATAACAGCACCAGCAGTGGTCGCACTGTCTCTGTGCTGACATAGCGTTACCGGAATGTAACTTCAAGTGACTTGCTGCAACGTTGACCTGCCGAGCCATCACGGGGTCGAAGCGGATCCCGATGCAGATCGCACTCGCTTAATATGCACATGCAGCAAGTGAAAAAGTTGCGTTCAGATTGCTGCCTTCGGTCCGATCGCCATGAAGCCACGGCGCATCGCGGTTCTGGAATGTGAAGATGCAGAGAAGTGGAAGGATATGACGCTGGAGGTGGGGCAGCTGCGGGACGCTGCGTGGGCCAAGCCGCACACGGTCCAGCCACGCATGAGAGCTGATGCGCTCGCCGCTGCCGCGCAGCAGCCCGGCCCCTTGATACCGTCAAGCGCTGAAAACTCAACATGCAGGTGACCGATTGATGTAAGATACCACTGATTTCTCGCGCCAGCCTCCAGCACACTTTGCTGGCGACATGCGCCCCCGCCGCCACCGCGCCCACAACCCCGCAGCTCTGGCGCCGCACGCTGGAGCGCCCGGGTGACGAGTTTGTCGTCTTCCGCTGCACCCAGAGCGAATTCCCCACTCCCGCCGCAGCCGCCGCCGATTTCGACGCTTTGGTAGTTGGCGGCAGCCACTACAGCGCTTACGAGGATCATGAATGGATCCGGCAGCTCAAGGCGCTCGTGCCGCAGTATGTAGAACGCGGGGCCAAGATTATTGGCTGCTGCTTCGGCTGCCAGGTGGGCTGCAAGCAGCAGAGCCGCGGCCGCAGCGGCGACAGATGGGGGTGCCTCGCGTGGCCGTCGCGCCGGCACGTCGCGTTTGACTGTCTTTGCGCTGCGTTTGACCACGTGTGCCGCTGCGCAGCGCCCACTCGTTGGGGCCCCCACCTATGCATGTGCAGCACGCCTGACATGGCACGCCCCGCACGCCTGCATCAAAGGGGCAGCCCCAGCATATTGCATCCAAGGCGCCTTGCGGCCCCCAATCAGGTACTGGCGGAGGCGCTCGGCGGCCGCGTCGGCCGCAACCCATCCGGCCGCTTCGTGCTCGGCGTGGAGAGGGTCGCGCCAACGCGCCAGCTGGCGCGGCTGCCGGAGTTTGAGCGCATCGTGATGCGTGCGCTGGACCAGCAGCAAAAGGCGGACCACCAGCAGCAGCAGCAGCAGGAGCGGCAACAGGAGGAGGTCGAGGCGGGAAGCACGGGCGGCGTCGGCCTCGCATCGGCTGGGGATGGAGGCAGCGGGCCGCAGTTGGCGGCGAACGCGTCCGCCTGCGGCGCATGCTTCAGGGTCTTGGAGTCCCACGGGGATCAGATCTTAGAGCTGCCGCCGGGCGCCGTGGCGCTGGCATCGTCGGGCAGCGCCGCGTACGAGTTGTGGGCCCTGGGGGACCGACTGATCGCCTTCCAGTTCCACAGTGAGTCATCTATAACCGCCCCAAGCCGCCGCTTGTCGCGCGCGCCCGGGCGGTTGACGGCCCCTGTCAGCTTTGGATGGGTGTGGCAACGCGTTTGCCGCAATGCCGCCCTTGCTGGTGCTGGTGTGGGGTGCGAGAGTCGGGACCCGCCACTTTCAACATCAGTAATGTGAAACCCGCAGTCACGGCTCAGCTCGCCCGCTCCCTTCCCCTTGACGAAGCGCCCCTCCGCACTCTCTGTATATACCATACATCCCATACGTGTACTAAATGTGCTCTCCTTTTCCTTGCGCCGCCAGTCGAGTTCGGCGGCCCCATGGCTTTGGAGAAGATATGGCCCACCCTCACCGCCAACGGCCGGCTGTCGTCGGAGGAGTCTGCAGCGTCAGAGGCGCAGCTGCGGTCCGGGGACGAGCGCCCGGGGACTGTGGCCGAGCTGCTGCAGCATTTCATTGCTCACGGCCTCGGGGGTGGCGGCGACGGCGGCGGCGACATTCGAGGGGCGGCGGCGGCGCCGGCGGCGGATGCAGGCACAGGGGATGATGCAGACGAGGCTGGGACGGGGCAGCAGGAGCCGTCAGAAGATGACGTGACAGCTGCACCGCAGCAACAGCAGCAGCAGCAGCAGCAGCAGCAGCAGGAGCAGGGGACGGCGATTGCACAAGACCTGCAGGCTTCCAGCTTAGCTGCCCATCCCAGCAGGGGCGACGCTGGTGTGAGTGAGATCAGTGCCTCGCCAAGCACCAGCCCCAACAAAGCCCAGCCGCAGCTGCACGCACCCCTCATTGCCGCGCCCGGGGCCCAAGACACGCCGCGAGGCAGCGGCGCGGCAAGCCCGACAGCCGCCTCTGCTCGCAGCGGCGGCGCCACCGCCGCGGCCGCCGGTCCGGCGGCGCCCGCGAGCAAAGCGGCGAGCGCGGCATCGGCCGTCCCCTTCTCATTCATGGCACGCCAGCGGCGGCAGCAGCAGCACGAGGAGCAGCTGGCGTCCTTATCCTCGGACGCGGTTTCCGAGGTTGCGGCCGCCTTGGACGCACGGATGCGGGCCGCGAACTGCGACATGGATCTGCTCGCCGGCTGCGACGACGCGGCCGCCGACGAGTACGGCCGTGCCGCGGACATCGCCGCGGCCCTCTCGCGCTTCGCGTCTGACCTCTCCGCCAGACAAGGCGACGCCGCGGCGGCGCTGGCGCTGGCGCCGGAGGTCTTGGCGCGGGTGGCCGGCCTAGAGGCTGACGTGGCGGAGTTGGAGGCGGCCGCGAAGTCGCTGGAGCGGAGAGTTGCCGCGATCACACAGGCCGCGGCGCCGGCGGCGGGGACTGCGCCAGCGGCGGCGCCTGCGGCGCCGAGCGGGCTCGCGGCGAGCGTCGGCGCGAGCGCCGCGGCGGTGTCGAGCGGGATCAGCGGGCTGGTTGGTGGGCTGGGGGGCGGGGGCGCGGCGGCGTACAAGTTGGTGCTTGGGAGCTTCGGCGGCGGCAGCAGCGGCGGGGCTGTGGGGGGCGGCAGCGGGTCCGGAGCGGCAAAGGGTTGACACGAGGGGAGGGGTGGTCCAGAGTGTGATGACACCCCGAGAGCCTTGAGAGGCCTTCCATACTTCACATTGTTATTCACATGTGCTGGCTCTCGCACCTGAGACCGTCTTTGCGTAGTCCCAATTCCAATGCATTTGCAACGGTTACAGCTGCGCTGCTGCGGCGGCGCAACCGCCAAGAATGTGACAAGCGCAAAGAACGGACGCAAAATCTGCAAAATGAGCGCTTTTGCAGCCCCAACAAGCAGAAAAACGCCCGCACTGCTGGGCCCCTGGCTGTTCAAGCACCACGCGCTCGGCAGGCCCGCACCCTTTTCATGGACCGGCCGCGTTCCCTCGAACGGCTGCAGGCATGTGCCCCGCCGGGTGCACGCCGCGTGTGACTGCAGTGTCACCAGGACTACAAGCGGAGCGCCCACGCGGCAGCAGGGGTGAACGCACATCGGGCGTAGGAGCCGCCTTGCAGTAGCAGCACCCAAGAGCCCCCACCGCGCGCCGGCGCCGCTTCAGCCTTGTGCGTCACCTCCCCATGCACGCGGTGTGCAGGTCGAGCACCAGCGCCCGCGGCTCGTGGGCGCGCCGTAGCTCATCTAGGGTGACGGCGGCCTGCCTGTACAGCCGCTCCAGCGCGGGCGCGAGCGGGCGGCCGCGCGCCGCCAGCAGGGCGCCGTTCAGACGATCCCCCAGCTCCGCCCTCGCGCCCGGCTGGCGGTAGCGGATGAGATGTTTTGTCCAAGGGTTTGGTGGGCGGGGATTTGCGAATTGGGGATCAGGAAAGGGGCGGCAGGCGGGGGAGCCCGGCCAGGGGCTGCGGCAATGGCAACCAGGCCTGGGCGGGCAGCGGCGCGCTGGTCAATTCAGGAGCGTGCCGCGCGCGTGCGCGGCGAACCTCACAGGCACACGCTCGCGGGGCCGGCGCGCAGGCGTGCGCTGGACGGAGGCAGGGACAAGGGGGGCGGGCACTCACCAAGAGCAGCGTGCCACAGGGGCTGGCCTCGGGCTCCGCATACGCCAGAAGGGACACGGCGTCGCTCAGCAACTCCTCGTCTTCCGGCCCCGCCGCGGCGGGTGCCAGCTGCGCGCGCCCGTACTCGAGAATGGACTGCGGCGGCGCGCGGGCACGGACGAGCTCCAAGAATCGCTGGACTTTCAGGCGGAAGGACAGTCCGGGGGAGGCGTCGAGGGCGGGCAGTCCGTAGTGTTGGTCGACCTGGGGGCGGGGTGGGGTGATGGGTGCGGTGTTGAGGTTTTGGGGGTGGGTCAGGGTCTGGGGGCTGTGAATGGTGGTTGGGAGGTGGTACGGAGGTGATGCTGAACTTCCTTTTGGTGTTGGTGGTGTTGATACATCCCTGCGCTCGTGGAGCCGCACCTGTGAAAGGGTGTGCGCCGGCATTGACGCCCAGGCGACACCGCAGGCCCACAAACGCGCTCGCATGCGCAGCCCGATGAAACGTCCTCAAACCCTGAAAATAAAATGCTGCAAACACTCCCAGGGAAACAATACCAGCCGACCTGCTGCAGCGCCTCCTCCAGCCGCCCCGCGCAGACGGCGTCGTAAATCTGCTGCCGCCGCACCGCGTCCTCCACCTCTGCACTGGGCAGCGCCGCGCCCGCCGCCGCCGCGCCGCCCGCCGCCGCCGCGCTCGCCGCCGCTGCCCCCGGCTCCCCTGCCGCCACGACTCCGTGCGCCGCTTGCGCGGCGGGCTCGAGCGGCGGCGCCGGCGCCATGTCCGTGTCGCCGCCGTCGCCGCCGCCAGCCAC